GTCGGTGTGGGTACAAGTATGGACTTAAATATATGCAGGGTGTATCTACACAGAGTAGGAGTCTGGCTTGCAGGTGCAGCATGGCTGCTAAATTCAGCCTGTCTGCTCAGTATGCATCCTCACTGCGGATAGCTTAACCGTCTGCACTGTATTTCCTTTGCTTCTAAAATATGGTTGTTGATAAAATCTGGGCTCTGAACGGTTTGTGAAATATAAATGACTCAATTCATGGAAATGGTTAGCTCACAGAATGATCTCAAACTGTCATTATTATAAAGGTGTATGCCTAGACCAATGCCAGAGACTTGGCTTCTAACTCCAACCTCGAAAGACTGGCATTTGGATGCTTATGTAATATGTTTTTCCTTCTGAGCCACATTTCCTTGATAGAAAAATGCAAAGAACAAGATAGCATGGAAAATAGCTTCTAGTTTCAGGTGTGATCCTATAATACAAGACATGTTTTTATTTTTTTAGCATAGAATTATCTAGAAAAAATGTAAATTTTATAGTATCAAATTTAATTCTGTTAAAAATAAGTTTATTCCTCTGTCTTGTTTGTTTCTTTTTGTCATTATTATGAATATGTGATATGAGCTGTCCTTCTGTATGTTATGAATGTGTTGCTTTTATTGGTTGTAAATAAAGCAGTTTTGAGTAAACAAATGTGTGTGCTCATGCATATGCATGTGTATGTGTGTATATGTGTTCATTTGTATGTGTCTGTGTATGTGTGAAGTTTGTCCCTCACTCATTTTCCATCTTCTTTTTTTAATTAGCATTTTTATTTAAATTAGAAACAAGCTTGTTTTACATGTCAATCCCAGTTTCCTCTCCTTCCCCTCCTCTCCTGCCAACACTCCAACCCCCTATCCGATTCCCTTTCTGCTACCCAGGGAGGGTGAAGCCTTCCATGGGGATCTTCCAAGTCTGTCATATCATTTAGAGCAGGGTCTAGACTCTCCCCTATGTGTCTAGGCTGAGAGAGTATCCCACTATGTGGAGTGGGCTCCCAAAGTCCATTCATGTACTAGGGATAAATAATGATCCACTACTAGAGGCTCCATAGATTAACCAGAACTCCAAACTGACATCCATGTTCAGGGGTTCTGGAACAGTCCTATGCTTGTTTCTAAGCTATCATTCTGGGGTTCATGATCTACCCCTTGTTCAGGTCATCTGTTTCTGTGGGTTTCTCCAGCCCGGTCTTAACACTTTTGCTCATCATTCTTCCCTCTCTGCAACTGGATTACAGGAGCTTGGCTCAGTGTTAGCTGTGTGTTTGCTTCTGCTTCTGTCAGCTACTGGATGAAGGCTCTAGGATGGCATATAAGGTATTCATCAGCTTCATTATCAGAGAAGAACATTTAAGGTAGCCTCTCCACTATGGCTTAGATTGTTAGTTGATGTCATCCTTGTAGATCTATGGAAATTTCCTTAGTGCCAGATTTCTCTATAAACCATTAATGGCTCCCTCTACTATAGTATCTCTTTTCTCACTCTCCTCTTTTCTTCCCCTGACTTGATCTTCTTGCTCTCTCATGTCCTCCCCTCCCCTCCTCTTCTCCCCTTCTCTTTCTCCTAACTCCCTTTCCCCTCTCCCCATGCTCCCAATTAGCTCAGGAGATCTTGTCCCTTTCCTCTTCTCTGGGGGACCATGTATATCTCTCTTAGGGTCCTGCTTGTTTCTTGGCTTCTCTGGTGGTATGGACTGTAGGCTGGGAATTCTTTACTCTATGTCTAAAATCTGTATATGAGTGAGTACATACTATGCTTGTCTTTTTGTTACTGGGTTACCTTACTCAGAATGGTTTCTTTAAGCTCCACCCATTTGCCTATGACTTTCAACATTCCATTGTTTTTTTCCACTGAGTAGTACTCCATTGTGTAAATGTACCAAATTTCCACTATTGGTTAGATTGCCAGTTAGTGTCATCCTTGTAGGCCTCTGGACATCTCACTAGTACCAGATCTCTCTTCAAACCTATAATGGCTCCTTTATTATGGTATCTCTCATCCTTCTCTCCTCTATTCTTCCCCCTACTCAACTTTCCTGCTCCCCTATGTCCTCTTCTATACTCCTCTTCAACTCCTCTCTTACTTCCAGCTTCCTTCCCATAATTCCCATAGCACAGACACTGAGATAGGCAATTAACAAATGGGACCCCCTGAAACTGAGAAGCTTCTGTAAGGCAAAGGACACAGTCAACAAGACAAAAAGTCAGCCCACAGAATGGGAAAAGAAATTCACTAACTCCACACATGACAGAGGGCTGATCTCCAATATTTGCAAAGAACTCAAGAAGCAAGTCTCCAAAACACCAAAAGATCGGATTAAAAAGTGGGGCACAGAACTAAATAGATAATTCTCAATAGAGGAGTTTAAAATGGCTGAGAGACGCTTGAGAAAGTGCTCAACATCCTTAGCCATCAGGGAAATGCAAATCAAAACAACTCTGAGATACCTTCTTACTCCTGTCATGTAGGAGTCAAGCCACAAAGCTACCCACCCAACAGGGCGGGGTCAAGGTAGAGATAAAAGGAAGATAAATATATTTAGTTTAAAATAAGTAAATTATAAATTAAGTATCACCCTCTATGTATATATATTGTATATGTTTAAGTTTATATCAAATTTAAATCTCCTATTTAGACTAAAAGGGGAATTGTAGGAGTCAAGCCACAAAGCTACCCGCCCAACAGGGCGGGGTCAAGGTAGAGATAAAAGGAAGTGAAAGGAAAAGGACCTTCCCTTTTTTTCTGCTGGAAGCCAGCCACGCTTCTGACTCCTAGCTTGTGCGACTCTCTCTCTCTCTGGTAAATAAATATATTGTTTTCCCTATATAGTATCGAGTATCGTTATACTGTCAGAATGGCTAAAATCAAAAACACCAATGACAATTTATGATGGAGAGGATGTGGAGAGTGGGGAACACTCCTCCACTGCTGGTGGGAGTGCCAACTCGTACAGCCACTTTGGAAATCATTATGAAGACTCCTCAGGAAATTGGGAATCAGTCTACCACAAGATCCAATAATTACTTTTTTAAAAAATTTCTTCCTTGACCCAGGAATGGTACAATTGTGCATTGTTCAATTTCCATGAGTTTGTAGGTTTTCTGCCATTTGTATTTTCTTTCTTTCTTTCTTTCTTTCTTTTTTTTGGTACCTGTTGAGGTTTGGTATGTTACCAAGCACGTGGTTGATTTTAGAGAAGGTTCCATGTGGTGCTGAAAAGAAGGTGTATTCTTTTGTGCTTGAATGGAATGCTCTATAGTTGTCTATTAAACTCAATAGGTTCATAACTTCTATTAGTTCATTTGTTTCTTTGCTAAGTTTTTGTGTGGTGGTCCTGTCTAGTGGTGAGAGTGGGGTGTTGAAGTCTCCCACTATAAGTGTGTGAGGTTTTATTATGATTTTAGTTTCAATAATAGTTCTTTAACCAATGTGGATGACTTTGTATTTGGGGCATATATGTTCAGAATTGAGACTTCATCTTGACGAATTTTTCCTGTGAGGAATATGAAATGACCTCCTTCATCTCTTTTGATTGATTTTAGTTTAAAGTCTAATTTGTTAGATATTAGGATTGCTAACTCTGCTTGTTTCTTGGGTCCATTTGATTGGAAAATCTTTTCCCAATCCTTAACTCTGAGGTAACGTCTGTTTAAAGTTGAGGTATGTTTGTTGTATGTACCAGAATGATGGATTCTGTCCTTGTATCCATTCTGGTAGCTTATGTCTTTTTATAGGTAAGTTAAAACCATTAATATTGAGGGAAATTAATGACCATTGATTGTTCATTCTTATTTGTTTTGGATTTGTTGGTGTTGTTGGTGTTATGTGTGGATTTCCACAGCTTTTTCTTTTGGCTGTTGGTATAACTGTTGCCTATATTTTTTCTCGTTATAGTTAACTTCCTTGGGTTAGAGTTTTCCTTCCAGAACTTTCTGTCAGACTGGATTAGTGGATATGTATTATTTAAATCTGGTTTTGTCAGGGTATATCTTGTTTTCTCCATCTATAGTGATTGAATGCTTTTCTGGGTATAGTAGTCTGGGCTGGCATCTGTGGTCTCTTAATGTTGGTAGAATAGCTTTCAGGACCTTCTGGCTTTCAGAGTTTCCATGGAGAAGTCAGGTATAATTCTGATAGGTTTGCCTTAATATGCTAGTTGGCCTTTTTCATTAGCTGCTCTTAATATTATTTCTTTATTCTGTATGTTTGGGGTTTTGATTATTATGTGCAGAGTGAACTTTTTCTGTGATTCACTCTATTTGGTGTTCTGTAAGCTTCTTGTACTTTCATTGGCATGTCTTTCTTTAGGTTGGGAAAGTTTTCTTCTATGATTTTGTTGAATATGTTTTCTGCACCTTTGAGGTGGGGTTCTTTACCTTCTTGTTATAGATGGATGTTAGATCACTGTCCTTCTTTTACTAGTTTTTATTGACCAAGTAGTCTCTCCAACTTCCTATTTCTAATAATTTCTCTTAGGAATATAGTTCTTTGAACCTTGTAAAAAGTGAATGATATAAAAAGATATGAATGGATAAACACAAAATATCTGAGCAACAGATTCTCATTAAATATTCAAGTGTTTAAATTTAAAAATGTAGTGTCTTTATTAAGAAAATATGCTCATTGTGTTAATGTATTGGACTTGATCCTGCGGTCTGTTCTGAAAGAAGGAGATCCAAAGGCACAGTTATGGGAGAAAATATGTTTGCATGCACAGTTATGTTTGTATGTCTATTCATCTACATATATTTGTTTTAAGATCATTTTTTCTGTTTCATATGAAAATGAAAAACTTAATAATATCATTATTCTATCTGTGCTTGGCCAGCTATATCAATTCCAAATCATAAAACTTAATGCTTGTTATATGGCTTGTGGGTTAATATGAAGAAAATTATTACAAGTCTATATTCTTTTTTCTTCATAGAGAAACTTACAAAATGCATTCTTGCCTTGTATAATGTGACATTTATTTCCATGTGCTGGCTTTGATGCCACATGTACTAAAATTGGAGCAATACGGAGAAGATTATTGTGGTCCCAGTGCAAGGATGACATCCAAATTTGTGAAGTGTTTCATAATTTTTTTCTAGTGGGAAGGGAAGAGAGGGATGAAAGAGTGAATATGGGGAGAGACAGCTGAAATTAATGGTCATTTGAGTGGTATTATGGAAACCTAATACAGTAGAATCTCCCTAAAATATCTACATGTATGAAGGTAATATAACTGAAATCACCAAATAATAGTTGAAACAGAGCCTCAACTCATCATCTCTTGTCACCAAGTGAAGCTCCCAGTACTAGGATTGAGCTATATCTAATTGAGTTGTTGGCCAGTGCGCTCACATGAGAACTGATAAACAACCTAGGCTTTTGGGCATTGACTATAGTTTGCTCTTAGGAAACTAACCACTAGGTTCCATTGCTGAATGCAACATCTACACAACTCATTAAGCATGGGGAAGTCAACCAGGCACCCACATAATGCCTTTACCTCTATGTTCCAGGTCTTTGGTACAGGAAGGTACTTTGCATGCTCCCAAAGGAGAAAGGTAAACACCAACCCAGTCACAAACCCTTTAATGCGGAATTTGTTTACTGCCTGAAAAATATGCTAGTGCAATAGTGGCATAAAGCTCATGGGAGTAATCTGATTTGATTTAAGGTCCACTTCACAAGATGGAACCTATACCTGACTCTGCTTGGGTGATGAAGAACCTGAGACTAGACAGCCCAGGGACCTAGAGTAATACCAAATAATACTGTTGTTTAAAAAACAGTAGCAATGCAATTACTCCTAATGACATTCTGCTACAGTCACAGATCAATACCTTACTCAGCCATCATCAGAGAAGTTTCCTGAAGCAGAGACCCAGGCCTGCAAGGATCCTATGTCAGTTTAGTGTTTTTATGGGATTCATGAGTGTGTGGATGAGTGGGTCTCTGTTTCTTGTGTCTGTCTTCTCTTGAACTCTTTTCCTTCTGTTTGTTTTGTCCAATTCCAATGCTTTAGTTTAGCTTTGTTTTATTATTATTATTTAGAAGCCTTTTTGTTTTCTTTTCTTTTTTTTTTTTTTGGTTTTTCGAGACAGGGTTTCTCTGTATTGTTTTGGAGGCTGTCGGTCCAGCCTAGCCTCGAACTCACAGAGATCCGCCTGCCTCTGCCTCCTGAGTGCTGGGATTAAAGGCATGCGCCACCACCGCCCGGCGCCTTTTTGTTTTCTAATGAGAGATAGAATGTTGCACCTGGGTTGGGGAGATGGGGTGTGAAGGACCTTGGAGGAGCAGAGTTATGGGAAATTGTAATCAGGATATATTATGTGAGAAAAATCATATTCAATAAAAGGAAAAAAGACAGACAATGAGAGAAAGGCATAAAATAATGATTGCAAAAGGATATACATCAATAAATGAAATGAAAATTAAAAGAACAGTCATGTATTACTTTTAAATATTACCATTAATACTGTACTTCTTCCTCCACAAATCCCAAACAGACTTCTGAGGAGAACAACTGGGTTCAAATCCTAGATTTATCACTCAGTTTGAAATTAGGTTATCATCACATCTTTGTCCCCCAGCTTCCTCAAATGTAAAGTAAGGATAGTCATAGGAATTCCTTCACAGAGTTATTGTGAAGGTAACAAGTAATAAAAGCAGAGTGCTAAGAAAAATTTATGGAACAAAGTAAGCACTTAATGGCTGCTGTTATTGTTATTATACATACACATACACACACGTAAACATAAACTTTCATGCACATGAGCACATTTTTACTGTATTTGTGGTCTGTGTTTTCTCATCAGAGAATTTAAGACTCAGGTCTCATTTAGCCAGATAGCATATAAAATATAATAATTACCTTTTCTTGGACACATGTTTTGTGTGTTTTTTGTTTATTTTTTGAGATTGTATTTTAGATTATGGAATGATGTTATTTCTACATTAAAGAATGTATGCTACGGAAGAGAACGCATATTTGACATCATAAGTGAAAAAAACTATTTGTAATTAATATAGTGTAGTAAAATGGAAAATCAGAAGAAATGTTTTATACTAAGTTTTTCTGAACTACGGATGAGTGGGAGGGGGTAGGAACCACTCAGATGGAATGAGGTGGGACCTGCGGTGGGAGCCTGACTCAAGGATCAAGTCCATAATTTAAAAGCATCACCTTGTGTAGCTGGGCTTTCTTTGGACCACCAGCTCCCAAATGACACAGGGACTTCTTATTAAGTATGAAAGCTTGGCCTTTGCTTAGGCTTGTTTCCAACTAGCTCTTATAACTTAGATTAAGCTGTTTATATGAACCTACACTGCCTCTCCTCCGTACAGTACATCCAATTTCCCCATACCTTGCTGGAAAATCATGCCTCTGCTTTTCCCAGAGTTCCTATCTCTGCCTATCCTCTCCTGCCTAGCTATTGGCCATTCAGCTCTCTGAACAGTCAGAAAGTTCTTTGGCAGAGACACATCTTCACAGTGTACAAAAAAGATTATGGCACAAAAAACTTGGGTATGTCTTTTGGTTAAAAGTGGCATATTTACTATATTTTTGAGGATTTCCATTTCTGGACAATACCAGAAGAGTCAAAAATTCTGTCATATGCTGTAGGTGGTTTGCAAAAATAAATTTGGGTAGAATAATCAGGAAAGGAAAGGCTAGATAAAAGCCAAATGTAGTTTTCAGGATTCAAGTCCCCAGTCACTGAGAAAATCTTGTATGAATGCTATCTAGGCCAACCCAGTTGCTGACTCAGTCACCATCCTCCAGTTGATGGTTCTGCAGAAAATCATGACTTTAATGGTACTTAATAAGAAGGTTGTTCCATTTCCTCTGCATTAGCTGTAGGAGAGGTCTTTTCACTGTGACAGCCAATATTGTCTTTACTGGCATTTTTTTTCACATCAGACTCCAAAGCATTAGAAAGGGAACCTGAAGCTCTCTCAATGGTGCTACAAAATTTTGTGTTATCTCTGTAAAATTCAGTGGCATCTTCTCCAAATGAGGTCCCTGATCAAGGACTTCAGAATCAAAAGATTTCTCCTATCCAAAGCTTTTACAAGAGATGCCAGAACCAAATGTTCTCTTGTGACACCTTCTAAGTGTGTTGTGCAAAATTGCAAGCCAATCTTCCATTAATCACATGAGTGCTTATCATTTATCAATTGCATGGCCTTGAATGTTCTGTGGAAGGTGACTTCTTTCAAGTCAGGGTATGATTTCTCAAAAAGATTTCTATTATAGAAACTCACATTGAGAACTTTCTTGAGATTCTATTTTAATTACATTATATTTCCTTTTCCTCTCCTCGCTCCAAATCCTCCCTCCTCACTGTCTGTTAAATTCATAGCCTCTTTTTTCACAAACTGTTATTATGCTTTTATATTATATGTATTTTATGAGATTGTCTTGCCCTCGGAGCTAGTACAATGTATACTAGTTTTTTCACTGTCTTTCATTTACATTAACAAGATTTAAAGAACGGTATTGTTAAGAAGTGTTACTTCATGTATATGTAAGTGGATCAAATGTCTGAAAATAACACAAAATTAAATGCTTATGGTATTTTGAATGTAATTGGCCCCCATAAACCCATAGGGCATTATAGGGAAAATCTGGATATGGTGTTACACTCTTGTAACCCCAGTTCTGGGGAGCTAAAGGCAGTCGATCTTGGAGTCTAACTGGCTAAGCAGCCTGGCCTATTAATGAGCCCCAGGGCTATGAAAATCCTATCTCAGAAAAACAATGGAGATGACTGCTAAAGAAAAATACCCAAGTTTGACATCTGGTATCTACATACTCATATGCAATGCATCCACACATAAATGTGTATCTCCGTGAGCATGTGCTCCCACTCAAAAAGTCTACTAAATGGAGGCTGGAGGCCTGATTCAGATAGAAACCTAAGTGTACCACACTCCTGATTTTGTAGCAGTTAGAAATGGCAATGATCTAAGGCCTTGGAGTGTAGCTGGAAAGAAAGAAGTGAATGGATTTTCCTCTCAAGTATCCTGTCACTGAGTAATAGAAGCAAGCCCTCCAAAATAAAACACCCAAGTTTTGAGACCTCTGATCTCCAGATCTCTATGGCAAAAAAATTTACTATGTTAAGATACGATGTTTCTGGCTATTTCTTACAGTAGCAAATGAAAACAAATACAACATGGTAGCACTTTGTTCACCTGTTTAGAAAGAGATACTTTAGATGTTCTATAAGTATGATGATGAAAAGAATGTTATGATCAATAATTAAATTTTGTGGGCTATTAAGTGTCTCAGAAGATTTTGTTCTTACAATTACAATCTCTTCATCTTCTCGGGGCAGTTTTATGAAGCAATTTATTTTTTGGGTGACAGGGTATGTTTAAAAGTCTTCTTCCCCCAAGAATAAGACAGTCTCAAATGTCCCCATTTTATGGACCTTTTATGGTTTAAAGTGTCCCAGTTTCCCCATAATACTGAAGTAAAAATTTAAATCTCCTAGAAATAATTTATTTTACTTGTCCCCAGAGGTAATTTTTTACTCTAAAGAACACCATGATGTTTGAAAGAAATAGCAGCCCATGAAGTAGAGGAATTGCTTTCTAGTGGACCTTGCCTGATGGACTGACTTCCTCCCAATACTCATGCCTCCCTGTGTGCCTAAGAATAAGGAAGCATCATCAATAAGCTGTATAGTATAAGGCTTCCAGTTGAGGTACCTGAAACATAACATTTGATTTTTCCCTGGAAATTTAGTTCAATGATATTTTGGTCTAGCTACCATCTATATCCAGGGCCTAGGCTTTCCAAATGCACAGTTTTAACTTTGTAAGGCCCATCCAGGCCTCATCAGGATTAGAAGCTCAAGACTTCATAGACTAGGTCTAACTTCAGCTGGAACATTAAGGAGTAAGTCATTGAGAAATGCAGTTTACCTGACTTCCAAGTGATAGGTAGGAATTGAAAGGGTACAGTGAAGGAAGTTGTGTGTAGATGTATTTGGAAGGACTCTGTGAAACAGTTTCACAAGAGAGATGGTAACAAAGGCACAAAGATAAATGATGGTGCTGATTGAAGATGGGCCAAAGATGTTTACC